CACAATTCAAACCAGGATGTCAAGAATGCCAATATGTTAGTTTTTGGCCTCCGAAAATTGGCGTGGTTGATTTGGGTGCTGGCATTTCAGCGCCAGAGATTTCAGAACACAAATATTTGGAACCAAGACCCTTTGTATTTCAGCACACTCTAATCACACCCAAAAAAAACAAACTAATAGTCAATTACAGAACCTTAAAGAGAACCAGTCAATGGCCATTTGTAATCTAAATCTCTAGTGTTTATTTGTACCAACAGTGAAGCTTTACCTCTCAGAGATGGCTATTCTTCATTATTTACTCTCTTTTTCATAGCAGATGAATAAGGTCATAAGGCAATCATGGTCAGTGCTAGTCAAATACTATAAAACTGCCATTCAACTGTCCCAGGCATGAGACAAGTCAGCCTTCACTGAGGCCTTACAACCTCACACAGAGGTGACATTTCCGCTATAACAAGCAGGGAATACAGCTGAATAATAGAACACATATTTATCCCTGAGGAGTAAGGCTGCACTTAAGAATTGAGATTCAGATTCTTACAAATGCAGATTCCTGACATGCACAGTTGCTACCTTCAGGAGACAGGACACTGGCAAACAAAAGCCGTAAGAACGATCTTTTATAACCCCCTTTGATGCCAAGAAACGTTTTTTTCACAGTCAAAAATGCAATTATCTTAAGAAAAAGCAGTCCAAACAAGGTGGGCAACACGGCATACAAAATGCTATTTGGCCCATGTAGTAATAAGAGCATCAACAGAGCGCTACCTAAGGAACCTTACAACCAAAGCGGGCATCAGATGATGCCTGAACATCCACCTGGTAAAACTTAGCAAAGCTGCCACCTGGTCAGACATCTTGGTATAAACCCGAAGTGCAGTGGACAGACCAAAGGGATGGGCAACAAATTGGTAATGAGTGCTCACTGCATAACACAGGAAGCATTGATGCTCTGGGAAGATGAGGACATGTAAGTAGGCATCTTTGATATCCACGGAGGCCAGAAAGTCCCCACATTAAAAGGAAGCAATGACTGACCAGGCAGATTACATGCATAGATTGTGTACCCGGAGGAAGGTGTTGAGAACCTTAGATCCAGAATGGGGAGAACACCCCCACTGACTGTGGTAACTGTGAACAAAGTTAAAATTTTAAAAAACACAGGAGGTAAATTTGACAACATGAAGTGGGTGACTTAATAATCCAGTTAATAATACACAAAAGCCAAAAGAAGCCCCCCCTCAAGGATGTCTGTGACATCCTTGAGAAACAAATCTAGTAATTCGTCAAAAGGGTCCCGATCCAAGGGCATGTGCAATTAGTGCTTTAAGCACTGCTCTTATGCAGCTCAACATTTACTCCAAGGGTAAGTACCAAAGGACCAAAAGGAGACCTCTGTCTAGGGATGCGCCGACCTTTCGGCTGAAAATTACTATGGGCAATATGCTGATAATATCAAAACAGCTGAAAATGTGTCTGAAGAGAAGGTGCATCCCTAACTTCCCTTCTCCCCACTTGGCGCCGGTCTGTGTCCCCTCGGATCCCCGCTGCCTCTGCTGTCACAGACGGGGGAGAGCAGCAGGCATCCAAGGGGACACGAACCAGCGCCAAGTGGGGAGGAAACTGTTAGGAGGCCGAGTGGGGCAGTGGAGGGAGGTGAGAGCTGTCAGCTTTTAAGGGAGGCCAAGCTCTCCACCTGCACTTCCCTGCTCTGCCTCCTGTGACAGACAAGTCAGTAGGGAGAGCGGGTTACAAGCACTCGGTGATCACTACTGTTCGCGAGGACATGGTATGTTTATGGTGTCCCCAGTAATGAATGAAAAGGAAGTGCTGTACAACACTTACTGCTCATTCATAATTGTGGCGTTAGCAACTGATACCATCTCTATTTATGAATGGACAGGAGCATTCAATATAGAGGTTTCCTGTTAATTCATAACAGGGGCTGCAGAAGAGCATTTATGACTCTGTATCCTCAATTTCGTTTTCTATTTTAAAAGGGAAATATCAAGGGACTATTTTAGACTTATAATATCTGCTAACCCATCAGCGGTGTAGCGTAGGGCCACAGGCATGAGCTCCCATTGCTGGCGGACAGAGGGATCCTCTAGGATAGATCTAGGATCCTGAGACATATCCTTGGATCTGATGGTAAAGGTCTGGCAGAGAGATTTGGAAGCAATGGCAGGTTGCAATGCAGGACCGATCCATAGGGTCTTTAAACTCTGGGATGTCCTCTAAAGGGATAGTCAGTCTATTATGACAAGAATATGCAGCATCTACCTCAGAGATGTCCCACTATGAAATGTAACACACATCCCAAAGAGAATATTGCTGAACAAAATGCTGGGGAGAAGTAAAGATCTTTTCGGGATTAGGTAACTGTACCTCACCTCACTTGCACTTTACTGCATCGATATAAACAGAAAAATGGTGTGCTCACGTTTTGGAGTTGTCGGCAGACTGGGACGCCCCCACATATTAATCACAAATATGTATTTTATCTCCACCTCTAATGGCTCCTTCTCCTATTCTCCTCAAGACACCTCATAGATCCTCCCAATTATCACCAGTCAGAAGCTTATGCTATTTTAAGCCTGTGTGAATATTGTAAATTAAGTCCAATGTATCCAGCCAATTCAGAGGATAACAGTGATATTCCCTGAGACACACACAGTTGCATGCATCAGCAATGTAAAAAAAAAATGGCTGCCAAATCTGTTCGAGAAAGTATAGGCACCACAAAAAAAAAACAATCCAGCTATCGATTTGTTACTATTACTGAAAAATGCCTGTGGCATGTGAATGTAATACTAACTGAGCAAAATATATATAAAAAAAAAAAAATACTTTGATAGCCAGAAAGATGAAGATGACCAGGACTTTGCTTATTTTATGTAATCAGTGCAAAGACGAGAGCGGTTTTCCCTCAGGAATGTCTTATGAGTGGCCGCTCCTTTTCTGCTGATTAAACATACTGCATTGCCTCATAACAGGGTGTCTTCCACTGATGATTGCATCATGGTATATGCATGCTACTGAAAAATCAATGAGACTTGATTGTAAGCCATATATATTTAATGTGCGTATAAATTCTAACACATAACCATCTTGCATTTTACAGTTTAAAGGCAATGGCTACACAGAGGTTTATAGAGCTATTAGGCGCAGGGCGACAATATTTTAGAAAGGGTGTTAAAGATTCATCTCAGCACCACTGGCGATAATGTGGATAGGATTGGCTAATTCCCACAAACATTTCCTGAGAATACACAACCACTCTTTAATATAAAGATGCATATCCAGGTACAAAGCAAGCATGTCACTAAATTTAAAGAGTGCAGAGGTTGAGCATTAGAGCCAAACAGCCACACATAACAAGGCAGCAATATTTGACAAGCAGCATAACACAACTAGCATAAAAAAATCTTTCTGCTGGAAAAAAGATATACTGTGCATGTCCTATAGTTAAAAGAAAAGAAGACTACAGGGAGTAAAAAGAAGTGTAAAGTGTATTTCCCCTTTGCAGCCAAATTGGGATAACACATACTTTATATTTGTTATATTTTCCCATTCACATAGTATAACAAAAATTGTGGTTTAACGTGCTCTTTGCAGAAAGCTCCAGGGCTGAAAATCCTTAGCTCTCCCTGTTTGAGGGGGTTGGGGATTTGTGTCTTGCATAATTAACACTGTCTGTACTGTGCTGGCAGATTTCATTGTCATTTGTAAACTAGATAAGCAGGACCGTCTAGTCCTAACAAAGGGTTAAATGTCTCAAGGCATAGCATGCTAATGCACTTTTAAAAAAATTGGACACTGCAAAGGAAACAGGACAGGGCGTATGGACTTAAGTACCAGGCGAGTCCACAGAGACTGTGCCACATCAGAGGTTGAGCTGTGGACTTGTATAACATCTTGTGGCTAAGTACACAAATGTCTGGAAAAAGCTGCAATGTACAACCATTGTGTAAGAGTCACAGTACAGGCAAGTCCACATTTTATCAGTGCAGTAGGTGCAGGTAGGATTTCCACAGCTAAAAGTTTGGAAAAAAAACAAATCTACTTTACCCAAAAGGTTTACTTACAAGGAGAGTCTTCACAGACAAGTTTTTGCCACGGCTCTGGACTTGGAGAGTGCTCTGTGGCTAACATAGCTCTGGGAAGAGCCAAGATGCAGAGCCCAGTTAGGTAAACTCAAACACCATGTACCACTCCAAAAGAGTTCGGGAAGGGCTTCCAAAGCTATACTAAGGAAATACCAATATGCTTCATTCCGAAGGGCTTACTCACAAAGCGAGTCTTCAGATGGCTCTGGACCTGGAAAGCACTCTTTGTCTAAGAGGACACAAAGGTCTTTAAGTCCCCAAAAGCAGTGTCCGGTGCCCTAAGGGCACAATCCTGGCTGACCCAACAATCATTGTTCCTGCGTGATCTGGATATGGCCTACAATGCTGTGGAGAATAGGCTGATCCAGATATCTGGTGTAAAGAGATTAGCTCAAGCAGCTTAGTTAAAGGTCTTGAATGAAGCTATCAAATACAAAGAAATATCCACGGTGTATTGTTTCTTAATTAGAGAAATATCCCAGCAAACAGAAGAAAAAAAGCATCCAGCCTTCTATTTGAGGTCCAAACCTTACAACTATGCTATGCCCCTGAATGGAAGATTAAGAAAAAGATATTTAATGTGCACCACTCAGAAACCAAAGATGGGTTACATTGCTCTAGGGAAAATTGAGACACGCCACTGGAACAGTATAATGTTAGAAAGCCACAGACCACTGAGCTGGAACTATACTAGGATCCTGATGAACTTGGTGCATTTCTACTTCCACTGTACTTTTGTGGCACTGGCATTGCCACAGTTCTGTGCACATTTCAGCCTCAATAAATGCTTCATCCAAGTCATAATTCTAGATTGATGTCGCCATGGTCTCTTGCAGTGTTCATAGCTCACCCCACCTGCATAAAAGAAACAACCAATTGCAATTTGTTTACCTCAAAGCTGAGCGGGAGATTGCGCTTTAGGGAAATTTCAAACACCAGACTGATCTCCGATTTGTTTGCATCTTTATCTTCTTCAGGTCCCCTTCCTGTCTCCCCATTCTGCTATAGAAATAAAGAGAAAGACGGTAAACCTCCTGATTCCAGAGCGATTCTATTCACAGAACACTGACACACACACTGTACACTACCCTGTATTAGGTACAGTCCTGCAATGTTATTGGTACTTTAGTTGTAATGATGAATGTGGTTGCTAATGCTATAAACAGCAGGTTTGATGTATATTATATTAATATTTTTGAAAGGGGCATAGATAGAAAAAAAATATTGTACCAACACATGTCCATCACCCTTTTTTCTTTATCCATGAAATGTACATAAAATGTCACAAGGCTGTCTCAGAATGTGCCTGAGGGCTTGAACTGGCTCTCTGAAGCTCATATAGAGGATATAAAAAGCTCATCTGTCAATCAAATTTGTCACAATAGCTGGAAAAAAAAAAATATCACATCTATAGTTCCAAAAAAACGGGCGCCTGGCTTCATTCCCACTATGTTGCGGTGTTAATGTACGGTGTACAAACAATACATGCAGTGGGTTTACCAGTGTTGTACAAAGTACATGTCCTGTCTATGTTAAAACACACATTACTAAATGCATGTAAAAGATTTAAAAGCATGTGGACTGACGGTAACAAAAAAATGCATAAAAATTAAGGTAAATTTTTTTTTACAAAATTCTACCTTCAACATGCTTCTACATACGGAGATTAATTACAGATGTGTGAATGAAGCCAATGGTGCTGTAAAGGAAGATCTTAGGAAATTACCACGGTTGATCTCTCCGGTATGGGCTCATTCCTCAGGGCATGCAGGGCTTTTAATGCTGCGCTGTGTCTTGCCGCCTGGCGGGTTTTACCCTCTCCATAGAATTCACTGTTACCAACTGTCAGCTGTACATAGAATGTCTTTAGCATTGGGCAAAGGTATCTGTAGATAGAAGGAAAACACTACTGAATATACGATGGCCACAGGCAGAATGTTAGGTGTCTGTAGATTATTTTCATAACAAGAAAAATCTATAAAAAAGGGATTATTTTCAGACATCTACTTTTACTGTATAGAAAAAACATTGTAAACCTATAAATGATCTGAGCAGACTTCTGGGAAAAGCAATGAACCAATCATATAAACCGGAAGATGAACATGCTTTAGTATTAAGTCTTAGTGCAATATTTGAAAGATTTAAAGAAGTTTTTTGTTTTATAAAATATGTTGCTTCAGACTGAATTACAGCAATGTGGAGTTTTCCTTTAAATTAGCCATAATGTAATGGTCAGGCATGACTGAGCCCCCAAATGACTGCTTTTACAACCACTGCATGAACCATGATCCATTTGGATTGTCAAAATGGATATGCCTCAGCAACAGTGGTGAATGCCCCCCACCAGTGGGTCTTGGCTTGGCGTAAGAACAGAGATCCAACTAAACAATCCAATGCAATTTATCAACTATTCTTACCCAAAAATCAACAGACGGGGTGATTGCAGGAACGCAAAGATAATGTGACAATCAGATGTTCAAACTAAACTAATAAAAGTATAGTACAGATCTAAGACCTTCCTGGCTCCCACTGGCTAGTGCGATCTTCCTAACGTAATTTCATACTGACCATGCTAAATGTACATCTTTCTTTGCTTGTATACTAAACATATCATGGGCTGTTTTAAAACGATTTGGCAGATTGACCACCAAAAAAATCCTCTTGTCATTCTTATACTATCCTTGTGTTTACTAGTGAAGTAACAATCCATTCTACATTTCATTACACAAGATTAGCCTGCACATGTGGTCTTGTCTTACTGACATTAAGAAAACCATTTGCCTCCCTCCCACATCTGCTAGCATTATAGAAGAATCTGAAACTCTCCGGCCATAAAATAAATCAAACTAAAATCAGAGGCATTCAATAGAACCCAAACAGTGCAGACAATGAATGAATTAATGGTCATCCATGTCTCCTGTGGACTGCAGGCAGGAAGACATAATTGTCAGACACTAAATCCATCAACACTACAAGGTAGCATTTTAAACAATGGCTTTTATTAGCAATGTAAGTAAATAGAGGCATTTTAATAAAGCAAATGGAATATGAAACATGTTACAAGGCTTAGAAGAAGGCTTCCAGGACTATTCTTTATCATTGGCTTCACTATATATCAGTGCTTAAAATAGGCACCATTATATCTAGGGTAGGCTCTCATTTAAACTTATAATATTATAACAAAGCAAGGTTTAAACAGAAAGTACTTTGAAAATGTGTCAGATAAGATAAATATAGGGCTTTCCTCAAAAATATAAAGGTTACAAGGGCAAATGAGTACAGCTTAAAGGTACTCCCCAGGCAAACAGCTAAGTACACAGAAAAGGGAGCCATTTTACCTGTCAAAGGATTTGTATTCTGTCCATTAATTCCTGACATGTATACAGACCCTCTAACACAGCACAGCCAGGTGGACCACATCACTTATACAGTAGTTAAGGAATGCAGAAGTGTCCTCTCTCCACCCCCCGCAATCTGACTGGACAGAAAAGAGGAGCAGCAGCAGACTGACGAGGTCACCCCTCTGCTTACTCCTATCAACCTATTACTTGTCAGCACATGTGTGTGCAGCACACCTGATTGCCTCACAGTCTTGCCCTTCGCTCTCCTAGTCTCTCTGCTGTACAAGGGAACGGACAAAAAGTCAAACTTGAGTACTTACAATAGCTACTAAAAACATGCAGTTCTAGACTGTCTATATGTTCCAGCGAGGGGATATTGCATTACAGATCAGCTCAATAACATGCAATGTACAATTGCATTGCTCATCAATACAGAGTAAGGACGATGAGAGATGATGGGTTAGGTTTATTATACCTGCACTGGTCAGCTTTGAACCAATTGCCCCCTTAAAAGGAGAACTATGGGGTCAGGGCTTTTCCCCATAGTTCTCCTAAGGGTAACGGGAGGACACAAACTAGCGTCCTCCCGTCACCCTAAGCTCAGTATACCGCGAGCTGCAGCTCGCGGTATTCCGAGACGCCGCAGCTGAAACGGATCCCCGACAATTATGTCTGGATCTGCCCAGCTGCGTGAGTGACAGCTGGCTCTGCCTATCTAGAGGTAGAGCCAGCTGTACCCTCTCCCATCCGTTCCACCAGTCAGCGCTGGAGGATCGTAGCGGGGGGAATCCAGTCCCTCCCGTCACAGCTCTCTGCCGTGACAAGATCGAGAAGTGAGCGAACGCCGGTATGTGTTCGCTCACTTCCCGATCTACTGAGCCGGCCTGTGACAGTTTCATTGTCACAGGTCGGCTAGAACTATGAGGATGAGTGAAAAGCACTCACCTCATAGTTCTCCTTTAAAACATCAGAATTTGTTCAGTGTACTGTACCAGCTTAAACTACATCTAAAGCCAAAATATTTTTTGTAAGTTTTGGATAAAGTTGTAAATAGTTAAAACTCATGCTTGGGTCCCACTGGTGAGATTTAGATTTGTCTCCGGTCTTCCAAGACAAAATAGGTGGCGAAATATCAGATGGTTGTCACTGGAACAGGTGTCCCAACTGGAAAATTTCACCTCACTTCCTGTTCCATGGACAAATGTAAACATTTTAGATTTCCTACCTATTTCAGTCCTGGGGACAATGGTCTCCTGAACACACTGAGGGTCACTTTCTCCAGTGGTTAGCTAAAGCAGTAAAAAAGTCAAGAGGTTAAAACACTTTTCTAATCTATCCAAAACAACCAGCAAAAAAACCCGAAAAAAAACCCCGTACATGTCTTGCCAATCTATAGACACATCCAAGTGACCAGTTATATTTGAATTATATTTACTGCATCAGGGTGTATTTACCATAAGACACTCATTGACCAATGCCAGGGGGAGCACCAAGCCATGAAATGTACACACTGTGGCCAGTTTTTCTTTCCGCTTTCCTTGGGGGGAGACCGGTGGACATTAATGTGTGGATAGATCTAGCAAAAGGACTATAGGGGCGAAATGGCAGTAGCTAGCTCAGAGAACATGCAGTCATATGCTTAGATTGATGGAATGCACAGCTCAACAACTTGGCCTTTTTTTTCTGTGTTTTATCACACACACACACAAAAATGCTTTGTTGATGCCAAAGGTCAGAAGAGAATGGCCAGACTGGTTGAAGATGATAGAAAGGCAACCGTAACTCAAAAAACCACTTGTAACAACCAAGGTATGACGAGCATCTCTGAATGTACAACACGTCCAACATTGAAATCAGATGGGCTACAGCAGCAGACCACCACACCGGGTGCCACTCCTGTCAGCTAAGAACAGGAAACAGAGGCTACAATTCGCAAGGGCTCATCAAAATTGGACAACAGAAGATTGAAATATCATTGCCTGGTCTGGTGAGTCTCAATTTCGGCTGCAACAGTTGAATGGCCAGGTCAGAAATTGGCATAAACATGAAAGCATGAATCCATTCTGCCTTGTAACAACTTTTCAGGCTGCGGATGGTGGTGTAATGGTGTCTGGGATCTTTTCTTGGCACACTTTGGGCCCCTTACAAACTAATGCAGCAACCACATCTAAATAATCATAACTGTAACTTATTGCACTTTTTCAGTTACTACATGTGATAGTTTCGGAACTGTGGGATGTTGTGCCCCATTGTAAACATTTTGAAGTGTAAGTAGCAGCCTTGGGTTGAGGAGCTGTGGTTTACGAGTGGTTGCATGTAGCACATTGCATTTGCCCTATGATATAACCCTCCTCACTATTCCTTCCCTGAAGGGGTGTTGGAGGCTGTCTGCCAAACAGGTGCGTTTCACATACACAATAAATCGCCCTCACTGCAGGAGATGAGGAAGGCCATCTTCAGAAATGTGCTAGGCTTAAGGCTCAGCAGTAAATTAACACTGTGGAATATGTTGTGGACAACTTATCAGCCCAAGATGCCTCTGGTTAAACTTCACCAAATCAACATCCTATAAATTAGTTTCCAAATAACATATGGGGATGTTTTGCTGTGTGCACAGCATATGTTTTCTCAGCATTTTTATCTACACATTCTTAAAATTCCTGCCTACCAAGTCATTTTCACCACTGCTTTAAAACTACATGTAAAGAAAACTGCTGCATTTTAGGCCCTATAACATGCCATGTCAACAGATTTAGTAACACTAAATGGAGGATTACAAAAGGATCATTAAACCACGAATGACAATCTGCATTAGCAGATACAGCCTGATTACTTGGTCACATGCAAAGGATTCTGGGTACCAGCAAGCCTATAACTTGGGTAACATCTATCACACAGAGAAATATACCACAAAATGGAAAAGTAAACATACCAAATAGTGTTACTGTCACACCACCACAACTTGAAGATGTTCTATTTGAGATATGTTAATACTGTCATTCACATGGCTGAGTTAGGACTACAGAGGACAGAAAATGCAAAATGTAAATCGGTCTGGTTTGCCTGTTTTGTTTTTTTTTCCTCCATACACTGCAATAATGCAGTTCACAATGTTCTAGTCTTCAGGTATGTCCCACTAGTTTAGGAAGTTTGCAAGGAGGCTGGTTCATTGTCATATTTTACGGGAAAAAACAAAACATACACTGTGCCACACACCCACCTACCCCCAAGACAAAGGAAATGCAGCTTGGTCCTAAATAGGTCACAATATCACCTGTAATCAGAGGGCAGAGATACTGGATGGGGAGGTTAACAGAGGCAATTAGGATTGGGTAGAGGAAAACTAATTATGCTTTAAAGCAGTGGTTCTCAACCTGTGTAACCTCAGGACCCACAATTGTCCTTAGTCATTAAGTCGCGACCCAAGTCGCACTGCAATTAAACGCACAGCATTGCAGTACCACGCATTCCGGTGTGGGCGATTGAACTGTGGGTGGGAGGTGCATTTGGGATGCCTTTCAAAATAAAAACTATTTGAACAAAAA